CTAGAAATAGCTGCGTGAGTTGTCCCCAAGTCGAAGCTGATGACCTAGCTGGTATAGCCAATCAATAATCTTTACAACAGGTCTTGGCGGATCCAGACAAGCGAAAAGTAGCAAGATAGACCCCATTGGTCTCCACGATCCCCATGTTCCTAAGAACCTCATGACCGCTGTCCAGAAAATCTTGGGGATCCTCAGAAGATGCACCGCTGATGGTAGTAGTGAAGTGCTTGATGAAACTTATCCAACCTCCACAAAGCCTTCGAAGACGTCGCTGATCTACCACCGGTCTGTGGTGCTGTTCGGCTGAAGAAGCGGTATGTGACCTCGCCATTCGCGAAAGGACAAGAGTAGAGGTTTCAATTTAGCACCGAGAGAACAAAATCGCACAACAGGAAAGAATAGAAGTGAAACTTTTTCCTAACTCTGCAGCCTCTGAGAGATAAATACAGACGTCTCCGTACCGATCCCTCAGACTTTACTAAGCTTGTCTGTGAACTATGAGACCCATGTAACCTAGAGCTCTGATACCAACTTGTCACGACCCGGATTTTCCACCCTCGGGAGTTGTGATGGCGCCTACTAATGAGAGCTAGGCAAGCCAATTTTAATTACTTTTTTCATAAATAACATAATTCCTTTTAACAATTATCGGCAATAATACAAAAGCAGCGAAATTAAATAATAAGCGGAAGTCTCAATATTATAGAAAACTGAATAGAAATGCGGAAAATTTCAACCAAGGCCTCTACCCAACACTGGTGTCACAGTTTCACAGACGGTCTAAGAATACTGCACATAAAGGTCTGAAAGAAATAAACTCGACACTGTCTCCGGAATTACATGAAAGAAAAAGGATTATAGATGAAGGGAGACGCCAGGGCCTGCGAACGCCTGCAAGGCTACCTCGGGTCTCACTGGACTGAAAGCCTGCTCCCACTCTATTGCTGCTGCTACTGGAAGCCTGGGATCTGTGCAAAATAGCACAGAGTGTAGTATCAGCACAACCGACCCCATGTACTGGTAAGTGCCTAGCCTAACCCCGGCGAAGTAGTGACGAGGCTAGGACCAGACCACCAAATAAACCTGTGCAGATATATATACAAGTACAACGAAAAAGTAGCAAGAAAATAACAATTTACGTTGGGGAAGGGAGCATGCTTCAGGGGCAACAGTTAGAAATAGAATTGCAGGAATAGTAAAGCGTACATCTATAATTTAACTTCTGGCAGTAAATGAAGAGATAAGGCAACTTTCATATTCAACTCATCTTGTTGCAGGCGTGCAACCCGATCCCATTTCTCAATATCCCGTGGTAGGCGTACCACCCGCTCCCATTTCAATATCACTCGTGGAAGGCATACCACCCGCTCCCATTTCAATATCACTTGTGGTAGGCGTACCACCCGCTCCCATTTCAATATCACTTGTGGTAGGCGTACCACCCGCTCCTATTTCAATATCACTTGTGCCCATTTCAATATCACTTGTGGTAGGCGTACCACTCGCTCCTATTTCAATAAATCAACAGTTCCTCTAAAAGAAAATTTACTCTAGCAAACGCAACAATTAATACGAGTTCATAAGACAACAAGTACACAATTTGAAATCGGACCTCAAATTGAGGTCCAAATCCCCAATTTTTAGAAAACCTAGGTTCTACCCCAAAACCCCCAATTTCACCCATGAAAATCCTTGATTTTAAGTTGAAAACATGTTAAACGATATTAATGATTGAAGGAAATGAGTAAAAATTAACTTACAAATGATTTGGAAGAAGTCTTGTTCTTGAAAAATCGCCTAAGGAGTTGTGTTTTGAAAAGGGGGTGAAAAATGGTTCAAAATTCGACTAAGTATAAAATATATGCAGGTTGCAGATATGGGATTTGCGAACTGGGGTTCATAATTGCGAACCCCGACCTGTTATGGGAATTGCGAACATTTGTTCGCATTTGCGAACCATGAAGAAAATTGGGGACTTCGCATTTGCGAACCAAAAGGTCGCATTTGCGAAAGTCCCAGCTTCCGCATTTGCGAGCCACCGGTCGCATTTGCGAACATAGTACAAAAGGAACACCTTCGCATTTGCGAAGGTAAGCCTCGCATTTGCGAGAAGGGGCAGATCTGGGCTATCTTCGCAATTGCGAGAAGCCACTCGCATTTGCGATATCGCATTTGCGAACCAAGCTTCGCAAATGCGAATCCGGCAGGTCAGAAATGCAACAGCTGAGTTTCAAATTCCAAAAATGCACTCGTGGCCTACCCAAAACTCACCCGAGCCCTCGGGGCTCCAAACAAAACATACACACAACCTCAAAAATATTCTACGGACTTATTCGTGCGATCAAGTCGCCAAAATAACATCATATTCATCGAATTAAGCCTTAAAATTCATGATTTCTTCCCAATTTTTCATAACACATCAAATTTCCATTTTAAGTCCGAAACACGTCAAACGATGTCCGTTTTCAACCAAACTTTACAGAAAGTGCCTAAATCATATATAAGACTTGTACCGGGTGCCGGAACCAAAATACGGGCCCGATACCATGGTCTTCTAATCAAATTTCATTTTACAATTTCCTTAATTAATTCCAGAAAATAATTTCACACAAAAATTTATTTCTCGGGCTTGGGACCTCGGAATTCGATTCCGGGCATATGCCCAAGCCCCATATTTTCCTACGGACCCTCCGAGACCGTCAAACTACGGGTCCGGGTCCGTTTACCCAAAATGCTGACTGAAGTCAAATTTATTCATTTTACTATCAAAATTTAGCATTTTTCTCACAGAATTCATATTTAAGCTTTCCGGCTACGCGCCCGGACCGCGCACGCAAATCGAAAAAATCCTAAATGAGGTTTTCAAGGCCTTGGAAGTACAAAATGAGTAAGGAAACAGGTGATGACCCTTTGGGTCGTCACAATCCACTATCCATTTAACATTTAACTTTCACCAACAAAGTATGAGAATTATGAAAATTTGCTATTGAAGATGTGATGCACGAATAAGTTAATTAGTTCTTGAATTTGGAAAGTGTAATATATGTATAAGAATTTGACAAGTACTCAGCTCTAAAAAATATGACGTTAACTAATAAATGCAATATGTACATAATAAGTTATTTGAAAACTCTATACATACTTTAGATCTCAAGAGAAATTTTATAGTTTACTTCTTGTAAGGTTGAAGGGATAATTTTGTTATTAAAGGGATTGACATGTCTCCTCTAACCTCTTTACGCCTCCATTGCTTGTGTTGGGTCTTCCTCTCATTTGAGAAAAATTGGATGGAAAAGGACGACATGTAATTTTTAATGAGACTGATAGTAATCGGTGGCAACTCCAGTCTCCATATGCGGAAAGGTGCGACTGTCAATGGGTAAGTTCGCATAACCGCTGCAATTTGTTTTTTTCTTTCTTTTGTGTTTGTTTTAAATTTTAGGTTATTTGAAAGGGTAATTTAGTCTTTTGACTTTTTAATTTAGGGCCTCATGCTTTTATAATAGTATAGATAGATTATTTACTTATTCGAAGCAGTAAATAAATGATGCTAACATAATAAGTTACAAAACAACAAAATCATTTATTTCTCCTAAATAAAAGCAGTCAGACCTAAAGTGCCACGCTAAACGGAGAAAATCTGGTGTCGACGGAGTGACGAAAGATATGACACTCTCTGAGTAACTGAGTGGGTAACTCTGTCCACCAAAGCTTAGACAAATAGGAAAACCTAACGTATTGTATTTTTGTCTCCGTTGAAATTTGAATTAACGCTTACTCAGACATCTAAATTAAAATTACTAGCAACTTTAGGACAACTACTTCAAACCAATCACAATATATAGCAATAACTTTAGGATTCTAGTTTAGATACAAACTAAGCAACAAGTCAACAAGCCAAAAACTAATAGCAACGTGGCTCACATTGAACCTGTCATGTCGCGCGATCTCTAATTATAACAACTCAACTCCTCGTTCTGAGTTTAGTTTTTCATTTTATGTTTTGGGACTTCTAATAGATTTGTATGAGGCGTAGTTGTTGTTGAATTGAACAGGGTTGGTAGTAAAATATTTGAATTGTTAAGGTTTGTATGAGAGTTTTGTTATCAATAACGGTACACCTAGAATGATTCAAGATGATTCAACAAAGAGAATTCAGACATCACGTACGTAACTCATCTTAACCATTATGGAAGAAAAGATGAGTAAATTTATTTATCCAGTAATGTGAGCGATGAAAGACTCCATTTGTTTCTTAGTGGCGCCACCATCTTTCACAGACATCTTGATAGCTTGGCTCAACTCTACCGCTCTCTGTCTCATCTCTTCTCCTTCAATGGAAGTCATCAAAGTCCTCACTCCATTTTCAATTGTATTTGCTTTCACCAATTCATCTTTGTGTTCCCAATCCTTCACTACTAGGCCAACTTTTAACACCCTTGTTATAAGCACGTCGTTGAGTGGGTTGTCGGAATGGATTGGCCAAGTTGCCATTGGCACTCCCATTGTTAGGCTTTCCAAGAANTGCACTCCATTGTTAGCTTTCAAGAAGAGTTCCAACCCGAATGGAATAAGTAACCACCTGTGGAAGGGTGTGCTAGAATTTCCATTTGAGGTACAAAATCTCTTGCTATTATTCCTCTTTCTGCTACTCTTTCTTCAAACCCTGTTGGCAGCTCAATTTTCGGAACGTCTGTTGTAAAACATTTTCCTTTTTTATCTGCTTCTCTTAGAACCCATATGAACTTTTGTTCAGATCTCTCTAAACCAAGGGCAAGCTCAATAATTTGTTCAGGTGAGAAGGTACTTGCCGTTCCAAATGAAACATAGATGACTGAATTCTTGGGTTGTTTATCAAGCCACTCAATGCATCTATGGCTTAATATTCTAGGTGAAGCAGAGTACTCTTCGTTGTGTATATGGACCGGATTGAACGGACCAAGACCCCACACTGGCTTCTCACTTTGTTTAGCAAGTGCGTCGAGATATAAACCTTCTATATCTCTGCATGTATTGAAGATTTCTCCAGATTTAAACGTCCAATCGCGCATGATTTTCATGAACTCCAGCATCTCCTGCGGGTAACAGCTTTGGATGGACGGAATATGGGCTTGCAAAGGAAAGAACAAGCCGTTCATATCGTTGTTGTTATTATTATTATTGTTGTTGTCGTCCGTAGAAATTTGGTGGATCAATGAGTAAACAGCAAAAGCGGAGATGGCGTGGAAAATATATGCCTCAACATTGGGTATTGAATTCACGCCTTGAACAACTTGTAGTACTAAGGAATCATGGATAATTACCACTCTTCTACAAGTTCTTGAAATTGTACGACAAATTTCACATAAAGACTCACCGAGCAGGTCAAAGAATGCAACGTACGACAAATTGTCTTCCTCTACCTCAAAATTGCCAATGTCATGGAATTGTATGTTGGGGAATTGGTCAAGGTTCCATCCTTGTAGCCGAAGCTTCAGTTCTTGATTTCGTGCACCAACGCTGACATAGTGCACTGGAATATCATAGGAAGAGATAAGACGAGAAAGGTGAAGAAGTGGGGTTAGGTGCCCATATTCAGGAAAGGGCACCATTACCACAGCAATATTATAAGAGTTTGCAGCCATTGAAGAGAAACTAAATTAAAGAAAATGGTAGGAGGGTTTGCTGCACATCTCTTCTCCACCGTACCACTGCTCTCTATATATTGAAATACTAGCTCTGTTTTACTAGATTGTTGTCACGAACCAAAATCCATCTTGTTGTGATGGCACATAACCCAACCCGCTAGGTAAGCCAATTTAACAACTAACCAGTTCCAATAGCAATTTAATGAAGCAATTAGGTAAAGAAATATCTGAATCTGATGCATTCTCCAAGGACTAACAGTACAAATCATGAGCTTCTAAGATTTAAATTTACAAAGCTGGTATGAATTAAATACATCATCTGTTCGAAATGTACATAAACAGATTTTCAATAATCTAAGGCTACCATGAACAAAAGGTAGCTACAGCCGGAATGCAGGTACATCTTCAAATTCGGTTCCCATCGAACACAGCAACATCAGCAGCCAACATCTGCACGCAAGGTGCAGAAATGTAGTATGAGTACAACCGACCCCATGTACTCAATAAGTAACAAACCTAACCTTAGGTTGAAAGTAGTGATGAGCTGGAACAAAGGTCGGGTCCAACATCCAATAGCCAACAACAGTTCGTAACAACGCAATGCAAGTAATAAAAGAAGTAACTCAGAGATAAAATGCTCAGCTTTTTCATAGTTTCCCGAAAAATAGTCCGCTTTTCAAGTATATCAGTGAAAACCTAAATCCTTTACCGAAATCGTCGAAAATATAAGTAAGTTTGAAAACTATAAATTTTTCCCAAAAATCCTTTCCATAATAAATAAGATGTTTCATTTTCTTTCCAGATAGCAAGTGTGAAATACCTCTCTATGCCAATATAGCAATATGTGTGAGAAGTCAAGAATGACGTGATACCGTACGACATGAGAAAAATTCATCTCTATGCATGTATGTCATGTGTGCACGTCAATGCCATGTATCTCACAGATGAACTCATGAACTCACACTCTCAGAGTACTCAATCTCACAGTCTCACACTTTCCACTCATCATGATCAATCACTCAATACTATATATGGCCAATCTGACCCAGGAAAGATCCATCCCGGAGTATATACATCAACTGACCAACAGCCACTCAGTACTGAGTAGGGCCAAATCCAGCCCATGGGAAAGATCCATCCCCAGGTATTAAATGCTTCGGACAAGATCCATGTCCAGGGAAGATCCATCCCTCAATATAATCAACGGCTCTTACTCGGGGTGTGTGCAGACTTCGGAGGGCTTCTTCAGTCCAAGCGCTATCAAAAATCAGTTATAACCGCCGGCGTGCAGCCCGATCCCATAATATCACTCTCACTCAGACCCTCGGCCTCACTCAGTCATCAATCTCTCCAGTCTCTCGGGCTCACAATGCCATGAAACTAGCCCAAAATGATGATATGATGTGTCAATAAATGATAACAGAGACTAAGATATGATATGCATATGAATGCGTATGACTAAGTATGTAAAGCAATGAAAGTAGATAGCTCAACAGCAAAATGACCTCAGTGGGTCCCAACACGATAAGCATGTAGCCTAGGCATGGTTTCTAACATGTATCACAACTCAATAGCTCAAGTATGTAGAACTTTCATGGTTATATGTAAGATCAGGTAACTATACAGTACCACCGAAATAATGGAGTCACAATTCACACGGTGCACACCCACATGCCCGTCACCTAGCATGTGCGTCACCTCAACACCAATCACATAGCATGTAATTCGGGGTTTGATGCCTTCAGTACCAAGTTTAGAAGTGTTACTTACCTCGAACAAGCCAATTCCAATACCGAGCAAGCCAAGCGATGCTTCCAAAATACCATCTCCCGCGTACCGACCTCAGAACGACTCAAATCAAGCCAAAAGCAACTCAAATACATCAAGTAATGCCAAAGAAAACAATTCGAAATCATAAAGGTCGAATCCTTAATCAAAACCCCAAACCGGCCAAAAGTCACACCGGGCCCGTGCCTTGAAGCCTAACAATACTCACAAAATCTGGCAACACATTCAATTACGAGTCCAACCATACTAGTTTCACTCAAATCCGACTCCAAATCGGTGTTCAAAGCTCTAAAATTCGCTTTATGAAACTTTAGGCTAAAACCCCCAATTTCCACTTTTTCACAATCCGATTACCAAAAACGAAGATAGATTCACAAAATATAACCAAAACCGAGTAGAGAATACATACCCCAATTCATATGGTGAAAATTGCTTCAAGAATCGCCTCAATCTGAGCTCCATAGCTCCAAAAATGTAAAAATGGCTGAAACTCTCGAAATAGAGTACTTTATAACCCAGGCATCCTCTTATGCGAACGAGGGAAAACCATCGCGTTCCGATGAACAAAATGCACTGCCACCAAAAGACTCTATGCGAACGCGGACAAGGCTCTGCTAACGTGAAGAACAAACACAACGGCCTCCCAAAATACACTACGCATTCGCGAAACATGGCATGTGAACGCGAAGAAGAATCTTTTGCCTCCAGCTTCTTGATCCAGGCTTACGCGAACGCGTGCAGGCTTACGCGAACGCGATGCTCAAATTACAACAACCTACGCGAACGCATCTGAGGACTCGCGAACATGATGAACAATTTCTCCCAGCCTTCAAACAACTCTACGCGATCGCGATCCATACCCCGCAATCGCGATTAAGGAAACTAGATACTGAGAGTTCTGCAAAACCAACAATGAAAAATGAAATAAAAATAATCCGAACTCAATACGAAATACGCCTGAGCCCTTCGAGACCCCATCCAAATATACCAACTAGTCCCATAACATAATACAGACCTACTCGAGGCCTCAAATCACGCATAACAATATCGAAATGACGAATCACACCTCCATTCGAACTTGATGAACTTTGAACTTTTCAACTTCCAAAACTCATGCCGAAACATAGCAAATCAATCTGGAATGAACTCAAATTTTGCATACAAGCCCCAAATGACATAAAGAAGCTATTCAAATTCCCGGAACCACAACTCGAATCCGATATCAAAAGTTCGCTCCCGGTCAAACTTTTCAAAAATCGAACTTCCGCCATTTCAAGCCAAATTCAACTACGGACCTCCAAATCACAATCCGGACACGCTCCTAAGTCCGAAATCACCCAACGGAGCTAACGGAACCATCAAAACTCCAATCCCAAGTCAAATATTAAATTGTCAAACTTGGTCAACTCTTCCAATTTAAAGATTCCTAGTTGAGAATCATTCTTCCAAATCAATCCCGAATAACCTAAAAACTAAAACCGATGATTCGCACAAGTCATAATACATAAAACGATGCCACTCAAGACTTCAAATAGCTGAACATGGTGGAAATGCTCAAAACGATCGGTCGTGTCGTTACAATTATAAAGCATTAATTGTTGGTAGTATTTGTTATAGTATAATTAAAACTCCATCGATTTTCACCATGTCGAAACTGGTCAAATTTCCCATTGTTCACTTTTACTTGTCCACGATAAATTCTGTAGGCCCCTTAAGAAATAATAGATGAAGTGCACATTTTACTATCACTACTAAAAAACTGCCAAAAAGCGTCCACAAAAACCGACCGAAATCAGTCGAAATCAAACAAAAATCGACCGATTTCTGACCGTTTTCAATTGGTCGATAAAATAATGGTCGCAATAGTGAAGTGACCGAAATTGATCGCTATTTTCCGACCGAAGGCAGTCGGTAACTGTCAATACAATTTGACCAGGTATCTGACACAAATTAATTTTACCGACCGACTTCGGTTGGTATTGTTATTAATACTTTTTTATTTATTTTAATATTATCGACCGAATTCGGTCGAAAATTTAATTATTCATTTTTTAATTATTTTTAAATGACCAACCAAAATCGATCTCTATTCCTAAAATATATAATTTTACATTTTTATTTAAAATTGTTAATTCCGACCAAAATAGATCGGTATTATTTAAATAATTAAAATCATAAATTTCGACCGAAGTCGGTCGGTAAATTTGATTTTCTAGAAATTAATAAGAACATTTCCGACCGAAGTCGGTCAGTTTTCTAGGTAAATTTTTTGCCAGAAATAGCTATTTTATGCTCTACCACCTGCCAACAACCAATCACCTATAATGGCAATATTACATTACTGCCATTCAACCAATAACAACAATAATAACGACGATAACAACAACAATAACAACAACAATAACAACTATCAAAACTATATTAACAAAACATTTTCACCATCTCCATCTCCACTAAACTATATTAACAAGACATCATACCCAACAACAAAACGTTTCACAAGTTAAAAATTCAAACATCATTCAATGAGTGTTTTGTACTACATCATCTTCATCTCTAGTACTACTATGGAATTCATCGTTGGCATCGTTCGAAGGTTTAGCATCTGGGGAAGGTTCACGAGACCGGGGAATCGGGAAAGCACCACTAGCAAGAAGATTGGCTAGCTGAACTTGAAGGATATTAAATTGTTGGTCCCTCTTTTCTAGGTGAACTTAAAGGGTATCTAATTGTTTATCTCTCTTTTGTTCTCTAGTCTTTGTCTCTTCGAGCTCTCCTGTCAGCTGTGCGATATTCTTCTCTATAGAAGAGAGAGTCGACCTATTAATTGTCTCGCCTAGGGTGGAAGTCCCTATACCTTGCAATCTAGCCCTGTATCGCCGAAATGATCTCTCTGGAAGGCCGTATGCTATCCCCTTTTTAGGACCACCGACAACATTCAACCATATCCTCTACGATTCTTCGTTTGAAATGGGTGATCGCTCGCCTTGCTCATTCGGTGGCAAGCTCTGAGTGTACTCCTCCACATTAGCCTTGTAGCGACCCTTTATTTAGAAGATCGAAAATTATTAACTATATAATATTATACACATTAATTTCAAGTTATAGTAGTTATGAAACTTACATATGCAGTCTCCGCCCGGTCCTCGACCCATTTAGATGGATCTGTCGGTGCCTTCTTCTTCTGGATGTGAGTCTCCATGAAGAAC